GTGAGAATTATTTTCTCAAGATTTTCTCAATGTCATTTGTGTCAAATACTCTGATTTTCTGCAAGCATCATGTGAAATTTAATATGCTGCTTTAGATTTTTATCCTGTGTGAGATGTTTTTGTGGGACATATTAAAATGGGCAACATCTGTCCATGGATCTCGTCAAACCATTGCACGAGATAACATTTCTGGAGCAATATGTATTCATGAATCAGGCACATCGGTAGGTAAAGTGCTGACTTAATGATTGTTTATACTTTGTATTTTTCAAGCCAAGAATTTTTGAGTTTCCATAACAACATGTTTCATACATTTATTCACAAAAGATAATTTCCATTGTGGGGGATATCAGTGACTTTGTCGTCTTTATTAAGATACAACTCTTTAACGTTCACATTCTGCCCTTTTTGTTGTGTTTCTGCATTTTCTATATATGGAGTTAAAACCTTAAGTGTCTTAATGATTCAAGATTTGTTGCATCTGGAAATTGATGACAAAATCGAAATTCAAACATGTCCACTGTTATTTCCAGGAACTGGGGCATGGGTGGCCCAGATGTCTCTGGTGCTGCAATCCTATGTTCAGAGTTGCTTCCCTTTGACATGCCAGAATTCTGTGATGTTAGGTTTGAATCCTGGTTCAGCATACTCAGCTTTTCCCATAGTCGTAAACATCTGAGACCTTCATCATTACAGAATGTCATGCCATGATATAACTGGAATAGTGTTCAAAGCAAATAACACCCAACTCACTCACTCACTCACTTGTTTGTTCTCACGACGAAGACCTGGGTTCGATTCCCCACATGGGTGCTATGTGTGAAGCCCATTTCTGGTGTTCCCCGCCGTGATTTGGCTGGAATATTGCTCACTCACTCACTCACTAACTCACTCTCACTCACTAACTCACTCTCACACACTCTCTCACTCACTCACTCTCACACTCACACTCACTCACTCACTCACTCACTCACTCACTCACTCACTCACTCACTCACTCACTCACTCACTCACTCACTCAATCACTCAATCACTCACTCAATCACTCACTCACTCATAACCCAGGTGAGCTGCAGAGTAGAGGTATTGTAATTTCTTAAAAATCCAGAGGTGACTATGTATCAGATATTGAATTGATTTCAATTCAAGATATTGAATTGATATTCATTTAAGATTGATATCATTACTCATTATGGTTAGTGTCAGCATTTATTTTAATATGTGTAAATCCTAGAACTCCTACAATGGAAATACAGACTACAACTATACACCTGTAATCAATACATTAACGACCTGCACAGGTAACAGGTGTGTGTGGCACATCCGTGACAGGTGATCACGATTACTTCTTGTATGTACTCATGGTAGGTGTGGTGTTAATGATCAATGATTTCACGTTGGAATGTCGTTTTGTTGATGGTTGTCGATACAATGTCATTAGCAAATTGGAATGAGCAGAATGATTTATAGATTTTAGTGTGTCAAGTATATATGTATGACTCAGAAATGTTTTATGTAAGGTTTTAATTTTACCTGTTGTTTTGAATTCTACCATGACATTTAAGTATGTTCGTTTTTGATTGGCTGTTACTAAATAATTAGAAGAGAACATTTTTCAATAACCACTTTTGAGAGCAGATTCACTGCACGTAGTGTCAAAACACTATGCAAGGGTAATGAGTGCATATTTAAAACGCGTTTTATTCATGGTGCATATGTCATGGTAGAATGGAGATAACCCTATTGTGTTTACATTTTGGAAGTGATTATAGTTGGTTGAACGCTGCTAAATGTTTCATTTAAAACCTCACGCTAACGCGTTCGGTTTTAATTTTACCTGTTATTTTGACATACCTAATGTAGGCAAGACCAATTTTATTGTGCATTTTTACAGATTTGTAACCCCCAAATACCTGAAGAAACCAAAATCTTATACAGATATAAGATGTATTAGATTTGAAGTTACATTTAGGCATTGTTTTGATTAATATATACTGTAAGCCATTAAAAACGCAATTGGTATTTGTTGTCCTGAAACTTACAAAAGTTCTACTGAAGATTTGTTCCTGCGATACAGAGGATGTAGGGATAAAAGGCTGTTTTTCTGGCCCATTTCGAGTTCGAGTCCCGGAGCATTCCTCTGAGATGAACTTTGATACTTAAAACTGAACCTGTGACATTTCTCGGAAACACAACCACATTCATGAAACACGTTGTGCACATGCATTACCTGCACCCAGGCCCTTTTAAAGCACAAGGAATTGTGGAACTCAATCACTTTGAGAAAGGAATCAGGTTATCGGTATGGTCAGCCACGGTGCTTCAGATGTGATGATTGCCAGGCACTTTAATGTGCATCCATCCACTGTAAGTCGACTCAGACAACGTTTTCGGGCTACCGGAAGTGTTGCTGATTGTCCGCGACCTGGTGCACCACCTGTGATAACAGCTCGACAAAACCGCAATATCCGTGTTTCACCCTTGCGAAATCGGTTCCAAACAGCTGATGATTAGGCAAGGAGGACAATTGGGACAAGTCAACGTTGCCAAGGACGCCTTGCTGCCTTCAACATCCGGTGTCGTCACCCGTACCATGGTCCAACTTTATTGCATCGCCACAGACTTGCCAGACAGCGATGGGCAGCAAATGGGGCCAATCTTGGCAACAGGACATGGCCAAATGTCATTTTTCAGATGAATCCAGGTTTAACTGATCCTTTTGTAGATGGACGCCAACAGATTTATCGACGTAAAGGAGAAAGATGCGTACAAACTGTGTCCTTGAACATGATCGTTTTGGAGGGGGTGGTGTCATGATCAGACCATAGACCATCAGAAGCTGCAGACCATCCAACAGCTGTTCCTGAGAATGTGTGTCTTTCAATGCCCCAAAGACTGCGAGCATGTTTTGCAGCGCACGGTGGACACACACGATATTGACTGCAAGTGACCCCTCCTTTGTGTGATGTCGTTGTTGCGTCACTGATGTTGTTGTTGACTGGACATTTTCAGATGAAATTATTCACAGATGTTCACTTAAAACATATCTGCCAGTTAGGTTTATATATGTTGAAATTAGTGTGAGTAAAGAAAGTATGAATGTCAAATTGCATTTTTAATGGCTTTCAGTATATTTTCTTGTGTTTAACATACACAAACCGGTTTTATGTTTTAGGCCAGGGAGAGAACCAATGGTGTTAAAATGGGAATGTAATTTTTCATTTTGAGATAAAAGAAAACTTTTGACAGGATTATTCTCTGTTACCATGGTAACAGAAATTTTAGTAGACCATCACATTTGCTATTTTTAACACAAATCTATGAGAGTGGTTGATATTTTAATGCTGTTTGTCAAAATGAATATAGTACGTTTGTCAAGACATATGACTGAAATTCTGTCTCGTCACATTATACTCGCTCTGTTTCGGTTGTGCATTTTGAATTTCGAGCTCAACTTGAAAGTCAAGGGAGGTATGTCATAGCCTGCTTGTATTCATTGTGGGTATGGCTCTGTATGGTCCTTTGATGCCTTGATCCTGATTGTCCTCTTACTGTCCAAGACAACCAAAGCCATGTCTTTGCCCTCTAGCATCCCAGACTTGTAGGGCAGGGCGGGTGGGGGCCGTGTGGTGCAGTAGCCTAGTGGTTATAATGTTAGCTTGTCATGCCAGAGACCAGGGTTTGATTCACCACATGGGTAGAATGTGTGAGGACCATCTGCCCCCCCACCATGATAAAACCATATTTACTCACCTACTTGTACTTTTGGTAAAGGTGAAGTCAAATATGTGTATGGTTTGCTCTGAAGTTTCACTCAATCACTCTCTCTCTCTCTCACTCACTCACTCTCAACCACCCACCCACCCACCCACCCTCTCTCTCACTCATACTCACACTCACTCACTCTGCACGCTCATTCACTCACTCTCACACTCGCTCACTCATTAGTTTACACAACAAATACTCCTTAAAGGTGAGTTGTAAGGTTCTGTTGACCAGGGGTGTTGGCGTAACCTAATGGTTAAACTGTCTACTGGTCACGCTGAAAACTCAGGTACGATTCCCCACATGGGTACAATGTGTGATGCCCATGTCTGGTGTCACCTGCCATGATACTACTGAAATATTACTAAAAGAGGCGTAAAACCAAACTCACTCACTCAGTCTGATGACCAAACACAGAGTAGATGAATGCATGTCTTCATAAGCATCCTTCAGCTTTCCCGTTCATATTCCAGCAGTGTTAGAGACCAGATGTTCCGGAATACTGTATATCATGAAATTAATGCGTCACAAATTTAATGCGATTGCTAGGGTCTAGACTAAAATGCGTCACGAAATTAATGCGAGCTCAGGAATCTGTGTTGATGATAAAATGTGACACCCTGAATCTTTGGTGTTGTTCTTTTTCTTTTCACACTTGTTATTTACCAAATAACCTGAATTGAGCTTGTTAAGCAATGAATTGAAATGAGCTGACAATGTTTTGATTACGCTGCCATGTTTGATCACGTGATTGCTTGCTACAACTTGTCTTATGACAACATGTATAAACGTAATCCGACTTGAAAGACACAAGTCATCTACCAAGGTACAACAAACAACGTGGCTAGAGAATGTCCGGTCTGGCTGATGTGCTTGAGTGACTTTAAACAATGACCAGTGATTGTAACCAGTGATAATTACATGTGGTTTGAGATACCTGTAATGAGGAAGTGACCTGTATTGATGTAATGTATAGTGTCAACAGATTTACGTTTCCTGTCTTTTATTAAGTAGACATGATCAGACTGAAATGCGTCATAATAATAATGCGAGAAGAGTACAGACGCATTTTTCGCATTAATAAAATGATCGCATTAATTTCATGATTTACAGTATTTGACCTGACCCCTTTAAATGTTACTCATCCATTTTTTGTGTGAAAACAAATAGCTTTCCATCAGATCATGTCGCCATGTCGGACTACAACATCAGTAGGTGGAATGTAATGTGTTCAACATGTGTTACTTCCAGAGACTGGGAGATGATCACCATCCATGACGTCACCTTCTGATGATGTGCAAGTTCCCCACGATCTGGATAGGTAAGAAATTATATTCCACGCATGGACATTGTGTAAACCCTATACTTCCCTGATTATAAACATGTTGAAGCAAAATGTAGAATAGACGTCAGCAGTGTTATGCGTGTCATCTTTATGGCACATGCTGCAAAGACAATTTGCTGATATAACAATCTGAGCTCTCATCGTCCAGAACCAAAGTTTCCCTTTCATGGCAGCTGTGGTTTATAATGAAGCATATGACTTCATGGATAACAACTTCTTGTGTATTGGATAGAATGATGTTTCGATGTAGATTCTTACACAGTTATCAATGGCAGTGTTCCGATGATTCAAAATAATTGAAAATCGATCGAAGGAAGGATTACAAATAATTATCGATTGTAAAAAACATATTTTCAGAATTTAGTTGTTTTCGTATAACACACTTGAATAAAGTAAACTAACCATTAAATTTGATGAATATTCATGAGCAAACATGCACTCAACAGCGTAAAGCTATGTGCATTGTCAAATTTTAACCACTTTTATTGTTTAATTACAATTCCAGTGTCTTTCTTGCATGCATTTCATTGCATGACAGTATTAGTTATAAAAATCATGCATTTGAAAACCTGGGGAAAACTACATTAAAAATGTATATACTTCGATTATAATTGATAATTGTTCACCACAAGTCCTCCGATAATCTATAGTGGATTTTGTTTATGATTCCCAACACTAGCTATAGTTATCAAGCTAAAAGTCTTTTATCCATCAAGTTGTATGCTTCGTTATTACTTGCCAAATTCTAGGGTGCTGATCAGTCAATAACATGTATTATGTAAACTCGATATCTCTTAAAACGTTGCACCCAATGTCTTCAATTATGTCAACAGCCTACATTGGGTGATTATGCAGACACCAGTCATTAAAAGGTTGTATTGTCTTTGAAGATTTAGACATAATTTACAGTCATCTGTTTCGTAAATAATACAATTGGTTAAGATATTGCAAAGCTTGAAATTTTAGTCTCGAGCTGAAGAATATATTGCCATTGCTTACAAATTTGATGTCAGGAATTAACAAAATGGGTATCAGGGTATCAGGGTGGGGTGGGGTGGGGTGGGGTACCCTGGTAGAAAATTTGGACCCGTCCCAGCCCTAATACACACTGATACTGACAGTAGATATCTATACATTCACATCAACTATATTCCTGAAATATCTTCTGAGTTAGGAGAAGATTCTGAGAAGTGACCATGACTAGAAACTACATCACACAAAAGGTTATCTTCTATGTGACCAAAAGATATAAACTTGTAAATATGTTATGTTTCATTCTTCTTTAGCGGCGGGGGACATTGCCATGTTTGTGGCAAACACTTGTTTGGTTATAATTAGTGACCACATCACAACTGGACATTTGTTTGAATTTCATAGAGAGGATCAGCGAATACTGTTTTCCACAAGAGAAGTTCAATGATTAAGTTTACTTGCAGCCTGCCAGCATACAGCTGGAATATTGCTGAGTGTGGCGTTAAACAACAACCAGCTTAGTCTATTTCGGTCAAAATGATGCCGATGAATCACAATCTGACACCATATCGGTTCATGATCAAACATTCATTTCAACGCAGAATGTAATGTAAACAAAAGATCAACTCTGGAAAAAAGTTTCATAACGTTTGTCTCCAAAATAAAAAATTACTTAACAAACCATCATCATTTTGTTTTAATTTTCCGTGTGAAGTTTTACGAGGGTAAAGTACCAGTAGTACTGTTGCAGGAACAGCCTCAAGGGTGGGAAGCACGTGCAATTGTGACGTCACATCAAGCATAGCCAATCGATTTATTGACAGGGTACATGAGACAATGAAATTCACCTTTGACATCAAGTCACAGCAACTGTTTTTAACCTTCTGCCTTCTGACAAAATAGGAAGATATGATAAGAAATATGTTATTCTGACATTTGTATGAATCATCTCCAGGAACCCTCTTTCTCCTGCTCCTCCTCCCTGAGACGGCAGCCAACTACTTCATCGATGTCGACAGCTACATCAAGTACAATGCCAGTAGTTTCCAGCTTCTGGGGGCTGAGGATCGTCTGACCTTCAGCTTCACTTTCTGCAACAGCCGTGGTCTTCTGCTCTACCAAGCAGGGGCAGATAACTTCTTCTCGCTTGGTGTATATAGTGGCAATATCTACCTAGAGTGGAAGACACTCAACAGAGTCATAGAGGTGAGAGGGTTAATGATGGACAGTCATGGAGGTCATGGAATTAATAGTGGAGACAGTAGACTGTCATAGAAGTGAGGGGGTTAATAGTGGAGACACTAGACAAGGTGGGGGTTAATAGTGGAGACACAAGACAGTCATGGAAGTGAGGGGATGGAACAGTGGAGACACTCACAATGAGTAGTGAGACACAAGACAGGTGAGGGGGTAGTGGAGACACTAGACAGGTGAGGGGGGGTGGAGACACTAGACAGAGACAGGTGAGGGGGTTAATAGTAGGAGAGACACTAGACAGGTGAGGGGGTTAATAGTGGAGACACTAGACAGGTGAGGGGGTTAATAGTGGAGACACTAGACAGGTGAGTGGGTTAATAGTGGAGACACTAGACAGGGGTTTAATAGTAGAGACAGACAGGTGAGGGGGTTAATAGTGGAGACACTAGACAGGTGAGGGGGTTAATAGTGGAGACACTAGACAGGTGAGGGGTTAATAGTGGAGACACACTAGACAGGTGAGGGGTTAATAGTGGAGACACTAGGTGGGGTTAATAGTGGAGACACTAGACAGGTGAGGGGGTTAATAGTGGAGACACTAGACAGGTGAGGGGGTTAATAGTGGAGACACTAGACAGGTGAGGGGGTTAATAGTGGAGACACTAGACAGTGGAGACATAGACAGGTGAGGTGGGGTTAGACAGGTGAGTTAATGGAGACACTAGACAGGTGAGGGTTAACAGTGGAGACACTAGACAGGTGAGGGGGTTAATAGTGGAGACACTAGACAGGTGAGGGGTTAACAGGTGAGGTGAGGGGTTAATAGTGGAGACACTAGACAGGTGAGACACAGGTGAGTGGGTTAATAGTGGAGACACTAGACAGGTGAGGGGTTAATAGTGGAGACACTAGACAGGTGAGGGGTTAATAGTGGAGACACTAGACACATGAGGGGGTTAATAGTGGAGACACTAGAGGTGGGGTTAATGACACTAGACAGTAGAGACACTAGACAGGTGAGGGGGTTAATAGTGGAGACACTAGACAGTCAGGTAGAAGTGACAGGGTTAATAGTGGAGACACTAGACATAGAGGTGAGGGGTTAATAGTGGAGACATACTACAGTCATGGAATTGAGGAGTTTAATAGTGGAGACACTGGACATACAGGTGAGGGGTTAGTGGTTACAGAGGTGGTGTGATTATATTAAATATTCATTGTTTTAAAGCATCTTTAATTATCTGAAAGTACTTGATCATGGTAACAGACTGTTTTCTTGCAATAAACTTCAGCTGACAATAGGTGACGGCAGTCTCATGCCCAACACAAGCTACACAGTAGACATCACAGGACTACGTAGCCGCAGCTTCACCCGAGCTACCATCAATGGCCGTGTGATGTCGGTCACTTACCTGGTGGAGCTGGACCAACAGCTGGATCTCTCCTCCCTAGCTGGAGAGCTCTACATCGGGGGATATAACTCCCTCAATGACCTCAAAGTAAGGATTATATGTGTTGAAAGCAAAACTTTGGAATAACAAGATTCACCACGACTGTTTTAAACCTTTGTCAGAATTCATTTGAGTGATATGTTTTTGGTACAGGCCCGATTTGGCCGGGTACATCCTTGTTATCTCCAGGACTTACATTTTGATGAATTTACGCTAACCCCTGGATCAATTCCCGTTGTTGCTGCAATCATAGATTGCCCTTGTTTTTAATTAACATTTTACCAACCAATCAAATGTTGGCAAAAGGGAATTGGGAGATAACTCAAAGCCGTGGTCAGTTTTGAAGACAACTGTTCCATCCAAAAGATTTTTGGCGACTGTCTTTCTTTCATTTTTTCAGTACTTAATTTCTTACAAAATTGATCCTAATCAACAGACCTGACCACCATGTTGTTGATACTGCCAACCAGACTATGTAGCTGGTTTGTAGCCTGTGTTCTGATTGGTATGTTGGACCTATAGGCTATAGTAGTGTAGCCAATGAACTCAGCAGCTGGAGATCAATGGCAGTAATTCCACATGAATGGAACCAGGGCTGTTTTACAAGAATGCAAGCCCGGGCAGTAAGGCGACTGAGATGGGTACTAGGACTTCCATAATCCATGTTACTCTTTCTCAGCTGGACACCTCCCGTCTGTCAGCGTATCTGGTCACGTGTCTGGAGTATGTTGAGACGGCAACACGCAGACTCAATCTGACTGGGGACTACATGCATCATGTACAGACCAGGTGAGATATAGACAAGCTCGGATCTTCACATGGGTACATTGTGTGAAGTGAATGTTAGGTGTTCTCACCATCATACTGGTGAAATGCAGTTTACAGTGTTGGAATAACAAATTCACTATTTGATTATAATGCAGCAAAACCTGCATTCAAACACTGTTGGAAAAAGGGTTCAAATCAAAGGGTTCAAATACTGTGGGACATGGAGTTCCGGATTTTCAGACAAGGTTTACTGTCAAGGGTTCAAATACACGGGTTCAAATACTGGTCGGACAAGGGGTTGTCAGACGGATAGATTTTAGACAAGGGTTCAAATACTGATAGAAAAGGGGTTTTCAAATAGACAAGGTTTCAAAAATACTGTCAGAAGATTTCAGATGAACAAGGGTTTAGATACTGTCGGACAAGGGTTCAAATACTTTCAGTCAAAAGGGTTCAAATACTGTCGGACAAGGGTTCAAATACTTTCAGTCAAGGGTTCAAATACTGTCGGACCAGGGTTCAAATACTAGCCAGACAAGGGTTCAAATACTCTGTCAACGGTTCAAATACTGATAGACAAAGGGCTCAGTCGATAAGGGTTCAAAATACTGTGGGATGTGGGTTCAAAAGATATCAGACAAGGGTTCAAATACTGATAGACAAGGGCTCAAAAGATGTCAGTCAAGGGTTCAAATACTGTTAGACAAGGGCTTAGAAGATGTCAGACAAGGGTTCAAAAAACATTAAACAAGGGTTTAAATACTGTTAGACAAGAGCTCAGAAGAAGACAAGGGTTCAAATCACAAGGGACAAGCACAGAAGATGTCAGGACAAGTTCAAATAATATGGTTTCCAAGGGCCCAGAAGGTCATGGTTCCACCAGGTCATTCTTTGTCTTTCTTCTCAGCTGTCCATCTGACCTGTGTTCAAAGTCCCCAATCATCACCATGACAACCAGCCAGGCATTCGCCCTCATGGACATCCAGCTGACACCTCGCACGAACACGATCATCCAACTCGAATTCCGCACAAAGTGGTTTTACATAATCATTGATCATCTACCCGTAATGTATCCTTGAATTTGAATCCCAAAGCAGCTATTGTTTTTATAAACCAGACACTCTCAGACTTCTTACCTTAAGACCTTCTCTTGACCTCTCCTACATATAATCATTGGTCCAGTTCCACAGAGCAATCGTAGTGGAGTGGCTTGTAGCTCCCATTCTTCAGTACTAAGATCACTTTGTGAAAGGGGGCTGGGGGATTTTGTTTTAATGGTATTGTACGACATTGAAGGTCCAAGTCATTCTGTGTGATCTAAGCTCAAGCATAGCTTGTGTGCATGATCAGTTATCTATTTAAAGAACAATATTTGATCCTTGTGTACAACTTGTGGGTGATCTCACAAGGTCAAGGTCACTAGAGGTAAAATTATGACACAATGTGAGGTGTAATTCCAGGTCAATTTGGATTACATGTCTAGGATGAGCACTAAGGAACTACCTCAGCTTATTGTCTTGTCAAGCACAGCGTTATCCAGAACTCCTCGGAGGCAGATATTCGGTCTAGTGTCTGAAGCAAATGATATTACAGATCCCACTAAGGACTAAACATTTCACAGTTTCACAGTTTCTCAGAAAATACAATATGAACATTCAAACAAATAATTTTGTAACAATATCATGATGTTTTCCTCAGTTGACACTTGGTTTAGATAAAGTACAGGTCATGATTGTGTCGAATGTGCATCAAGAACCAAATAGAACAGGAGACTGAAACTCTCTGTGACCGATATAGACCCGTTTGGCTCAAAAGCGGACCGATGAATTGCATTCTAACTCGAAAACTACTATACATATAATACTCAATGAAACACTGATCATAATCAAAACATCAGACCAACTCTGTGATTTTTTTGCAGAATTTATGTCCTAAAAATAAAAAAGTTGTTTAACAAACTATCATTAATTTTTTTACAAAGTTCACTATTTGTTACGAGGGAGGACTGCAAAAAGAGGAACAGCCAGCTGTTAAACTGCAGTATGGTATCTTAGTGGCTTAGCACTGATACTCCAACATTTGTCAAGACAAGCAGCTACTCCCTCACACCAACAGTACCTAAACTCAGAAACCAGACTGTGTGGGGTCATGTTTTTGCTAACCCATGCTTGTCGTAAGAGGCGACTAACAGGATCGGGTGGTCAGGCTTGGTTGACAGATGTCATCGTATCCCAATTGCTTAGAACGATGCTCATGCTGTTGATCACTGGATTGTCTGGTCCAGATTCGGCTATTTACAGATCGCTGCCATATAGCTGGAATATTGCTGAGCGTGGTGTTAAACAACAAACCAACCAACAAAATCATATCATTGCTGTCTGCAATAGTATGAAGGTGCTGACCCAATGAATGGACACCTCATCAAAGTTTAGGGAAGAATGACTTATCAGTGGGAACCCACAGTTATCGACTGGGATTATATTATATGTTCCTTGTAGTCTGGTGGTAATCAAGCATTGTGTATGTGAAGAACTTGGAATAAAGAAAGGTATTTTGCTCTTGTTTATGAACTTGATCAAGGGGAGGTAATATTGTACATTCAACAGTCTATAGATTACCCCCCTTTAGCTACTTGCACTATTGTTGCATGAATAAGCGTTTCTTTTAGGGAACGTGCCTCCTGATATACTTGGCCACAGAATTGAATTTCAAATAATGAATTGTTTTACTCTTCTGCTAAACTGACATGTATTAAATATTACTTCATTGTGAGCTGACATAGGTACTTGATCTGCATCGATGTTTCATTCAAAGAACAGATAAGTTCATATCTGTACATCAGCTCTGCCTACATTATATTTTCTTAAATGCCACTTTGTGATGTAAGGTGTGTAAATCAACCTGTCCTTCTGTGTCAGGGCTCAGCAAGGGCTTATCTTCTACCTTGGTGGTCCGGCCTATCTGGTGCTGTACTTGGAACAAAGTGGTCAGCTCACACTCGGACTTAACACGAAGGTGGGTTATATATTTCATGCTATGTGGCCTATATCCTGGTGTTATGGGGTTTTGGACATATTCGTTGTAGTCTTGATTATTGCATGAAAATTGTAAAACATGTCACTAACTTATGAAGGATAACCTTGTCCTTAACGCAAACCATCATTCAAGAATGTGTGATGCATTACACCTTGTTAGAGCCAGAGTGATCACTACTTGTTCATGTTCTTCATATGATGTTCGAAAATTCATAATCTGATGTTTTAAGCTAAGACCTGCTGAACAGCTACAGAGAATTTTGCTCTTTTGAGTAAGTTTATATATTGAGGAGCAACCATTTAATTGTCTGGGTAGGGGCTGTAATTTTTGCTTGAGATGGTCATTAGTTTCTTATAAATTAAAAGACTTATTTTTTTCAGCTTGAAAATTGCTGAAATTATATTGTATTGAATTAATAAAAAATAACATAATGTATTTTTTTAGATTCGTTTGCAAGAAATGGCAGAGTTTTACACAGACTTTGAAAAATAGGAGTCATGGTGACTCACAATATCTATTTTTGAAAGTCATTTTCAATATTTGGGAGTCATGAAAATTTAATATTTCTTTGTGTTTATAAATCAGAAAGCAAGAGTTTGGCAAATATTTTATTGTTTTATGTTGTATTGTCATTTTGTATAACTAGTTACTAATATAAGTTGTATGCTTCTCTCGAGGGTAATACAGTCTGATGTACATCTTTTTGTAGCAGTGTCACCCGAGCCAGTAGCAAGGATTAGTGTCTCCTCTGAGTTCTTTGGAACAATCTTACAGCTCTGTCAAAGTCAAGCTATCATCGAAAACTATCATTGCTTGCTTATCAAACTGATCTTATTGAACTGAATTCCGAGGGTCACCCATCAAACTTGCGTCAAGTTTGACTCGTATGATAATATTTTGAGAGTCTTTCACAAAATTGTTGCTTCAAATACGCAGGAATCATGCGTCATGTAAAACCCTGAAATGGGCACATTGTTTCTTTTCCAAACATACATGACTGATACTACTGTAAAAAGAGTGAGTGAGTGAGTTTAGTTTTATGCTGCACTCAGCAATATTCCAGCTATATGGCGGCGGTCTGTAAATAATCGAGTCTGGACCAGACAATCCAGTGATCAACAGCATGAGCATCGATCTACGCAATTGGAATAGGATGACATGTGTCAACCAAGTCAGCGAGCCTTGACTGGTCAACCCGATCCCATTATTCACCTCTTACGACAAGCATAGGTTACTGAAGTTCCTAACACGGATCTTCACAGGTCTACTATTTTAGAAGAAATAAACATCATTGACAACTGATGTACCGTACTGTGATATCACTAATACTGTTCTGAGTGAAATTTACTCGTTAACTTATCTCATATATTGAAAGATTTCTCTGGTCTAATTGTATGAAACTAGGATTGAGAGTTTTCTTTCACAACGTAATAGTAGGGCAAAATAAAGTTACATTGAAAAATTGGATTTGACCACAATGTCAGTAGAGCTGTTCTGTGTCGTATTGTGGTGCTCCTGACTGGGACCCGTGAAGGTCTGGGTTAGAATAGGTCGTCAGTAACCCATGCTTGTCGTAAGAGGCGACTAACGGGATCGGGTGGTCAGGCTCGCTGACTTGGTTGACACATGTCATCGGTTCCCAGTTGCGCAGATCAATGCTCATGCTGTTGATCACTGGATTGTCTGGTCCAGAATTGTTTATTTACAGATCGCCGCCATATAGCTGGAATATTGCTGAGTGCAGGCGTAAAAGTAAACTCACTCACACTCAATACCTGACTAGAAGTGACACTTTGTCTCATCTGAAATGTTCTCCCTACTGATGGCGTTGTTGTTGTAGGGCACTGGTCCAGGAGTGTTTGCCACAACTACCGGGAGTGTATTGTACAACACAGGGGAGTGGATGTTGGTGCAGGTGCGTCGTCAGGGCAACACCGCAGTGCTGCTGGATGGAACAGGGATCCAACTGGCGGAAGCTCAGTATGGTCAGTTGTCTACTTTATGTATAAGGAAACAAAGCATGTTTTATGTCGTTAATATCAATTCTCAGGTTGTTTTTTGTGTGTGAGAGAGAGAGAAAGAGAGAGGGGAGGGAGGTGGGGGGACTAAAAGTCAACTCATGGACCAGGTCACCTGGTGATAGAATTTATGATGTAATATGATGTAATCACAGAGGCGAGAAGACACCTGGGGACTTCTCATCGTTGCTTTAATCCTGTTCCTTGTTTTTTTCAGCTTCCAGTGGAACTGGTGAGTTGGTACTACATACCACACTTCCTCTCTTTACCAAACAGTTTGTCTGATAGTCACTGTGTACCTTGACTGCTATGTGTTGTCAGGTCAAGGGTCACAGAAATTCAGGTCAAGGGTCATAGGATTGTCAGGTCATAGGTCAGGTTTGTCAAGTCAAGGATCACAGGTTTGTTCGGTCAAGGGTGATAGGTTTGTCAGGTCATGGGTTTATTTGATACAATATATTCCTTACCTTGTCAGCTTGCTGATGGGACATCTTTGGTCATGTGGACAAAGGACGTGACCTCTGGACAGAAGGTCCATGGTTCAAATCCCATCATGGGACTCAGAAATGTTATGGCTGCTACATTTGAGCAAAATACATCACAGTACCTTCCATGTGTCCTGGGATGTGCCTTCTGTTGACGAGGGAGTATGTAGCTGGGCATGGTGTCATCGCAGAGGTCACATCTTTGATGGATAACAACTTCTTTATTATGAGAGTGTGACGTTTCGATACAGATTCTTGTACCGTTGTCAAGCAGGAATGTAACATCACCTCAATACCCATCCTATTTGTTAATTATCTTGTTGTCTTGTTTTCCATATGAAATTGTGTGTTCATATTCATGCAACTTTAAAGACTTGCTAAGACCATGTTGTAATTTTGATCTCATTCCTTAGGTGTGGCGCAAACTCTCAATGCAGCAGAATTGTTTATTGGTGGAGTTGTCTCCCCTTCACTGATATCGTCACTGCCGCAATCAGCCCAGGTATCTCTACGTGGATGTTTTGATGAACTTCGGTTTGCTGCCTTCAGCATTGCGTCAGAACCTGCCAAGCTCATCAACTTTGGACATTCTAAATCAGAGAGGTAGGTGCGAAAATATATTTCATGATAACAAACAGTGTTCCTCATGATGAGACTTTTTAGTATTCCAGTTTTTTTGACAACAGCCAAGACAGGAAGTGTCTGTTATTATGATCAATATGTCGGGATGTGGTGATATGGAACCTTCAAGTCTCTTAGTCTTACCACTTGATTAATTGGGGCAGTAGGGTGGCCTAGTGGTTACAGCGTTCACTCGTCATGCTGAAGACCCGGGTTTGATTCCCCACGTGTGCAGTGTGTGAAGACCATACTCACTTGATTAATTAAGTCGCCACCTTTATAGGTTGCAGGAGGTCTAACCTGGCAACTCTGATGGCTACATACCGTTCTCCTTGCCACAGGCTTCGACAGATAGCCTTGGCATTAACTGAATTTATTTCTTTTTACATTTCAAAAAGGTTTCTTTTGTTTCATGTTCTTATCCGACATGAGTCATTTATGATGTCATGAAGCATATTGTCTGTTTCTGGTATTTCTTTATCAAATTAAAACTTTGTCTATACTGTTCAAAAGAAAAAGAACACTCAATTTTTTTTGATGACTATGGTTTGTCTGTTGTCGTGTCATAATATTTTTCGAATATTTTCTGAAACAAATAACATTTTAAAGAAACATCCTTGGCCACCTTGGAATGTTTGGCAGTTTCTGGAATTATCCAGGTCTTATAGCTGGAATGTAGCGGATAGTGATGTTAAACAACAAGTAACAGTAAATGAGTGTGAACCATGGACCTTCTGTTGGTCTAGACCCATGAAGATCCGGGGTAGAAAAGGTCTTCAGCAACCCATGCTTGCCACAAAAGGCGACTATGTTTGTACATGTCATTGGATCCCAATTGCTTATGTAGCGGTCATAAAAGTTCCAAGTGTTGTGATGGGCTTCGAACCACGCACCTTCTGATCTGACACCCGTGAAGGTCCGGGTTAGAATATTGATCTTCAGTAACCCATGCTTGTCGTAAGAGGCCACTAACGGGATCGGGTGGTCAGGCTCGCTGAGTTGGTTGACACATGTCATCGGTTCCCAATTGCGCAGATCGATGCTCATGCTGTTGATCACTGGATTGTCTGTTCCAGACTCGATTATTTACAGACCGCCGCCATATAGCTGGAATATTGCTGAGTGTGGCGTAAAACTAAACTCACTCAACTCACTCATTCTGTTGGTCTATGTCTCAATTCTCCCTGAAACTCCTCCACACCCAGCAACAACAGCATCTCCATCACATATCCGTGAAGATCCGGGTTAGAATATTGATCTTCAGCAATCCATGCTTGTTGTAAGAGGCGACTAACGGGATCAGGTGGTCAGGCTTGCTGACTTGGTTGATACATGTCATTGTATCTCAGTTGTGTTTCCCAATAGATTGTATCCCAATAGATCGATGCTCATGATGTTGATCACTGGATTGTATGATTCAGACTCTTGTATTTACAGACTGCCGCCATATAGCTGGAATATTGCTGAGTGCGATGTTAAAACAACAAACAAACAAAAGCATGCTGTTCAAAGTGTCTCAAAACTTAAGGATTACTTGAAAAGTATTTTGTTGCGTATAATCCTTGAAACATATTGCTGCTATTACTATATTTGATGAGATTATTATTTTATGAAACATCCGAACATGCTGGTTCTTTCAACGCATTTGTTAGTAAACTCTTTGTTGCATAGTTCACTTAGGTTTTGTTGTCAAAGTTTGTTGTATTCTCAGGGATGTAAAACATGGTGGCTGTTTCTCATCAGACGTCTGTCAGCCATCTTGTCCAGAGCCCTCCCAGCAGTGTAACATGTCCTGTGAGTGTGCACCAGGGTTTACCACAGCAACAGCATCACCGCTGCAGTGCAGGAACATCGACGACTGTGACCCATCACCATGTCTTCACGGTGCCACCTGTTTGGACAAGATTCTGGACTATGAGTGCATCTGCACCCAGGCATATAACAAGGGTGAGGAGTTACAGTGATACCCTGTTAATCTGGAAACCTTGCTGAGTGACATGACATCTGAATTGGTATTCTGCATCACCAGCTATTTTTATTTTTATAGCCAAAAAACAAAACAAAATTTTAAAAATAGCACTGAATTTTGTTGGGACAAACATAGGCAGGATTCGGTTGGAATGAACATGAGACTCGATTCTGTCTGGTTTTGTTGGGATACATGACCAATAATATATTTTGGGGAAAATGTGATTTGTTCTTTTAGATAAATAGAACCTGTAATTTGATCCCGGTACATATGAGACAGGATTCTGTCTAGACAGATATACCTATGATTTGTTGGGATATATATGACCCATAATCAGTGTATGAAATAAGGCCTGTCCGACTGCCCGAGACAGGCTAGAATTCTGCCGGATGGTCTAATTTTACAGCTAGCCAGCCCGATGGACGGGTGAAAAAGAACATTATTCAGGTAATGTGTCCATTGGCACTGTCTATTTAGTATTTAGTAGAAGGACTGGTTAAATCTCTTCTGGGCTGGTAAGTTTTTTGAAGCTACCAGCCCAGATGTCTGGCTGGGTTTTGGGCTTATTTCATACATTGCAATAATTATATTGGGGAGAAAATGTGGCACAAATGTATCAAAAATTGAACCATCAGTATGAAACAAAAAAGGTGTCCATATGTAATACAAACTGATTTGCATGCGGTGGGGTAGCTTAGTGGTTAAAGCGTTCGCTCGTCACGTCGAAGACCCGGGTTTGATTCCCCATGTGTACAATATGTGAAGTCCATTTCTGGTGTTCCCAACAGTGATATTGCTGGAATATTGCTATAAGTTGCGTAAAACTAAACTCACTCTCTTGCTCATCACATGTAGGTGTAGAGTACCTGGTACCAGTGATTGAGTTTAGTTTTATGTCGCTTATAGATATTCCAGCAATATCATAACGGGGGACACCAGAAATGGGCTTCTTGCATTGTACACATGTGGGGAATTGACCCCGGGTGTTCGGCGTGATGAGCAAACACTTTAGCCACTTGGCTACCCTACTGTCCCACCTGGTTGGAGATCATGGTAGGACACATAGCTGTTGTACAATTCCCAGGGAGTTGAGTACATAAAACAAATTAGTGGTAGGAGCATTTACTTTATTAAAGGTCTTTGGTGCATTAAGCCCTGACAGATCATCATCATCATCATCATCATCATCATCATCATCATCATCATCAAGCCCTCGCAGATTGGAACAGATTGGTGAATCACTTAAGAGAAGACATATGTCAATATGTGAATTTCTGGAATTCATTTCATAATCAGATATTTAGATAATCCATGGTGTGTTTCATGAGTCATATTCAGCCTTAAAACCATCAATATTGAAACTAGAGTTACTTAAATTCCCATTTCTCAAACTTCTTTCATCAGCTAACATCCACAACAGGAAATACAGATGTTATTTCTTAATTGAAATTCTGAAAAATTGAATTTTTCACAGGGAATATCTCTTTTCACCAAGTCAAGAAAAAGTTGCTCGGTGAACACGACCCTCATTAGTTGTCTGGGCAAGGTGACAGCCATGCAGGCAAATATGCTGCTCGCCCACAGCCTCAGAGGAACGTGAATCACACCAACTTAAATCAATTTTACATTTCACGCTGGATGTGGCAGACTTTTTCTCAAGTTGTTTTTTAATTTGGTAATTTGTTATTGTAAAAGTGTGGATAAAATTTAACTTTGCAATCAAAATGCAAACTTACGTGTGTTCCTGACAGCGTGTAATTCAATATCTATTTAATTTGGTGCAAATTCACGACGGAGTCATCAAATGTGTTTGACATACGGCTCTTGTAGAGCACTGTGATAAGGTTAGGGTGACCATGTTCTTTGCTGAGCGTAAAAAACTGCTGGGTGTTTGGATGATAAAGAGTTAGTCTGGTGGGTAAGGTGTTCACTTATCATGAAAAGGTCCCCACATTACAACAATCTGTGAAGCCCTTTTATTGTGTCCATCGCCATGATATTGCTAAAAGTGGCATAAAACCTCTCTCACTCACTCACTAACTCAACCTTCAACTCACTCACTCACTCACCCACAAACCCACCCACTAACTCACTCACTAATGGGATTGGGGTTATGGGGATGATGATGATGATGATGATGATGATGATGATGATGATGATGATGATGATCTAGTACTAGTATGTGGTGTGGTTTCAGGCTCACTGACTTTGTAGACACACCAGCACTCAGGTAGCAGAACTTCTGCAAAACTCTCCATATCATCCTTGGCTGCTTGATTGTTCCTTCTGGCTTTTCAAGGTTTAAAGATATTTTTAGTTCTGTAGACTGTCTCACATATTATTTTCCCTACAGCAAGCCTTACAACAATGTTAAATGCCTTGATGAAGAGATTCTACATCACCCACAGGTTCCTTTTCAGTTAAAATTTGCTTGTTTCTATCAAAAATGCGTTGGTTCCTTTCTGTTTCTAGGCAAGAACTGTTCCGTCCGAAACTTCTGTCTGCCCAACCCATGTGTCAACCAGGCCATATGCTCCGACTCACTCACTGGGTACAGCTGCACCTGTCCTCCGGGATATACCGGGGACACATGCGACCAGGATATCGGTGAGATGTACACCTACTATACTGATTGAAATGTTGTGAAGTTTTATTTGTCATTAAGGTGTCAGTGAGGTGGCCCAGCAGTTCTGTCAGTCTTCTGTTCTATTCCCAATATTTGTGTATCCTAATTCTAGTGTCATCTGGAGAGCGTTTGTTGGTCTTGCGGTGACAGGATTTTGTTGATGGCATGATCAATCATCATAGTATGATTTCACGTATTAGGGTGAGTGAGTGAGTTTAGTTTACGCCGCACTCAGCAATATTCCAGCTATATGGCGGCTCACGTATTAGGGTGACTTTTGAAGTTTATTCAATTCAATTTTATAATAATTTTTGGAAAAATATGTACAAGAGGTCTTATGACATTCATTGATTAGTTCAAATATTCTTTGTCCTTTAATCTGATTGGTTGAAAAACATGATCAAATGGTATTCGATTCCCGGAAATTCGCTGCGTATTAATACATTCAAACATCTCTCACACCATTGTATTGTTACGTCGTCAGCTTTGATGACGTCATTCAAATCATAATGTGATGTAAAGTCGGAATGATGTCACAAATGAGCAGTTCCAGATGCTACCATGGGAACCAGCCGAAACGGCCGGTTGATGACATTTCACTGCTGTACTCGTACTCCATGTCAATGAGTGCAGACACAAAAATGTGTGTGGACCTTTTGGTTTACTTTTGTGTTTACAGTGTCGATAAACATCATGTGTTGGCCAATTTACGGTTGTTATTGAGTATTTGAAGCACGGGAATATTTCATTTGAAACCTCCGGATGACGCCGTCGGTTCCAAATGAATTCCCGTGCTTCAAATACTCAATAGCACCCGGAAATTGGCCAACACATGATGTTTATCTCCTAAGTGAAAACTTTGCTGAGCATCTCAAGTGCAGAGTTGAATGAGGCAATTGTCTTGTTTATATATTATTGTTGGCATGGTGTATTCATAGCTTTTGGCCGTGGGAGCCGTGCCAATTTACACTTATCAGAGGGGTACACAAAGTCCATGGTCTAGACTACCCAGTGTACGAAATTTACGCTGGTCCTGTGGTCCATTGCTAGTAAAAATACATCAGGACCACTAAATGAGAAGTTTGCAGTGGTCCTGGTGGCCAGTGAATTTTGTATTGATAGTTAAGTAAATCTATGAATGTTTATGTTTTGGACCAGTGAAGTACAGACAGGACCACTAATTATTGTCCACTCACTTGGGTCTAGTGGAAATTGTGAAAGGTGTCTTTCCCTGCTATCAGTTGTCCAACTTCCATTTTTGTGGAAGCAGTGGTGGCTGAGCGGGTTAGGTGTCTGACTTTGTGTGCTGGCGATTGAGTGCCTGACTCTGAAGGTGTGAGTTCGAATCACAGATGAGACTCAACCCCAAAAGTACTAGAATCTGTACTTTACTAAGAAAGAGTAATCCCAAATAACATATGTTGCATTTGACCACTTTCTAAATGGCATTGTGTATTCATAGCTTTCGGCTGTGGGAGCCGTGCCAATTTACACTTATCAGAGGGGTACACAAAGTTGGTGGTCTAGACTACCAGTTGTCTGACTTCCATATTTATAGGAAGCCGTGGTGACAACACCGAAAGAGTCAGCCCAGAATGTTGACTCCAAACTTTTTTCAACTGGTCACAGGTGGGCTCGATCCCGGCACCTCAAGCTCGCTGGATCACTAGCCTGGCAACTTAGACAGCTTGCCCACCATTTTCCGTGTTATAGCAGGGGTGGAAATAACTTTAAAATTGCTAGTGTACTCCGGTACAGTGGCACATGTAAAATCACTTGCCCTGATAATTTCCCCACTATACCGGCCGTTTTCTTGTTGATTTTTTACATAAAGAACATAATTAACATTGGAAAGTCTACTGGACACCGGTACAGTGTGATATACAAATTTGCTTGCCCAACAGAAAAAAACACTGGACTCGGGCAGTTGGTTATTTCCACCCCTGTATAGCCATGTGTTATAGCCATGTGTTATAGACATGTGTGTTAAGCCATGTGTTATAGACATGTGTTATAGACATTTGTTATAGCCATGTGTTATAGCCATGTGTTATAGCCATGTGTATCATAATGCAAATACGTGCACAACACCACTCGCCATACAGTCCAACAACAGTGATGATAAAGTACGTGACTAGTACAGCATGTACAATGGTGATCAGGACCTACATATGACATATAGTTATTCTTCTCAAGCTTCGAAGTTATATTTGTTCCAGATGAGTGTCTGGCATCTCCCTGTCAACACTCCTCCACATGCATCAACAACATCGCCAACTACACTTGCCTCTGTGCAGCAGGGTACACCGGGAGGAACTGTCAGACTGACATTGACGACTGCGTGACAACTCCCTGTGAAAACAATGCTACCTGCACTGACCTCGTAAATAGCTACACATGTACCTGCACACCAGGCTGGACAGGTAAGAGCTTGTTTCTGTTTATGAAGCGTCAGAATGTCCTTGTAAGTGTTTCCTTTTAAAATTGTGGTAGCTCTAGTGGTTAAAGTTTAAAATCGTCGCCTGATAATTTTTCCGGTTCATATCGGCTGTTTTGGGGTTGAATGAAGCAACTGAAAAAACACTTCAGTCGTTAATCCACCCTGTAAGTGTTTTCCACAGAGTGAGCAAGGGTTGTTTTATGCCATGCCCAGCATCATTCCATCTGTCTTTTGAATGGCTGTCTAACTGCTGAATTTTTTTATTTAAAAATTTAGATCTACATGTGTTTCACAGTGTGGCAAATAGTCAGAAACAATATGAAGCTTATACAACTTCTTAGTACAGCTGCTAAAGTGTCACTTGAAGGTACTCATTTTGAGAGTATCTCGAGATTGGAACCATTCACCAAAAGTTAGATGTACTGCAATAATTTCATGGTACAGATATTATATACTTCGTCAGGTAATGTATAAATATATATTCAGTTGGAGGTGGGGTAGCCTAGTGGTTAAAGCGCTCGTCTTTCGTCGCGCCGAAGACCTGGATTCGATCCCTACATGGGTACAATGTGTGAAGCCCATTTCTGGTGTCCCCCGCCGCGATGTTGCTGGAATATTGCTAAAAGCGGCGTAAAACCAAACTCAGTCAGTCAGTCAGTCACTTGAAGGTACTCATTTTGAGAGTATCGTGAGATTGGAACCATTCACCAAAAGTTAGATGTACTGCAATAATTTCATGGTACAGATATTATATACTTCGTCAGGTAATGTATAAATATATATTCAGTTCCTATTATGATCAAAGGATAATCAATGAGAATGTTTAACAACAGCGTACCTCTGTCTCCAGTTGTGGTGATGTATCGAATAACGTCATATCACCATTATAGTTGTGTTTTTGGAGAATTTTGTTTAGTGGAAAGTTTGCAAGGTTTAGGGTTATCATGTTTGCTTGCTAAGTAAGCTCTAAGGGTTCTCTCTAGGGATGATAGTGATGATGATGATTACGATGATGATTTCTTTTGATGTAATCTCTTAGGTCCTTTGGGTGGTGGGGTAGCCTAGTGGTTAAAGCGTTGGCTCGTCACGCCGAAGACCTGGGTTCGATTCCCCACATGGGTACAATGTGTGAAGCCCATTTCTGGTGTCCCCGCCGTGATATTGCTGGAATATTGCTAAAAGCGGCGTAAAACCATACTCACTCACTCACTCTTAGGTCCTTTCATAGAAATGAGTACGCTGGTCCTGTGGCCCCTGACTAGTGAAAATTCATCAGGACCACTTGATGATAAGTTTTCAGTGGTCCTGGTGGGCAGTGAATCTTTTCCCCATCTAAATAATTAAAATTGTTTCTATTCAACTAAAGAAATACTCGCAAGTCAAAGCGATTACTCAGGAGCACTATAAAAAATAGGTGATGATATTACAGTAGATAATGATGTTTACTTACAAAATAATCTCAAAGGTCCTCTCACGGGGTGGGCTTGGGGGTGATGATGATGATGGATGATGATGATGATGATGATGATGATGATGATGATGATGAATGAATACTCTGATTGGGATGATCATGTTGGGGATCTAAATGCAGCCGAATTTTGTTCCTTCATTTTCATCCCAATGTCAGACACCAATCAAACATCAGAGACACATTGTGTCTGTCGCCTGACAAAGGTGTGGAAATAATCGATATCTCACCAAGTAATTTTTCTATGACATTTCAGTTAACAATCTGTTGAAAAAATTCTTTGCATTTATATCTTGATTTCAGCATTTTTGCCATATATGGAAATGGTTGTGTGTCATTGTCGTGTGATTGTTCTCAATTTCCAGCATCTTCCATTATCCCGGCTCCAGAACAAATTATCCTCGATGATTAAGTCACATGGTCATCATTTGTTTTAAATACAAATTTGTCTTATCAATCTAATTTTGAATTATTTTTACAGGAATTTACTCAAATCAGTCAGCTTTTTCAATTAGAAACATTATGCGAAATCAATATTTGGTCTGCAACTTGCATGAAGGATTGCACCCTGCATACAACTTTCCGAGACGGTATCAGACAATGGGCCAATCACAGCCAAGGCCCAGGAGAGTTGAAGTTTGTCAGGAGATGTTTTATGCCATTTAAAAAATCAATCAGACTTTTGCCATTTATGAATTATGAATTACAGTGTCAGTCTCTGATGATGGTTACTTGCATTGTCCAGGAAAAAGAATATCATTGTCTAAATTGTTGATTTGGTTAAAATATTCTCATGACGTCCTGGTCCTAATAATTGTTTGGTTTTGTTACAGAAATGACATGCATGACATGGCAGTATTTTTACAATTGTATTCAAAAAGTAATCTCAAATCGTTTTCAGAAATTAAGTACTTAAAATTTAAGAGACAATTTTCACCTAAATCAATAGGGACATTCGGTCTCGCTTCCTCTGGTTGCATTCTGACATGCTTCTTGATTTCTGTCACGTTGGCGGAGACATGCATTATGTCCAAGTGCCTTTGTTTCTGACCGATTTGTAAAGTTGCTGCCAGTGTTAAGATCGGTTGGGTTTGCAGCAGTGCTTAACATTCATTTGTTTTGTCGGATCCATAGCTGTTGTAATGGTTCATTTAATATTGGGTTTTCATTTTGAAAATTACATGTCAGAGTGACCATTTTTTCATAATTTAAATTTTTTAATGATTTAAAGAGATGGGAAGGTTTTTAGATCAGCAACGTCATAGCAATGCCTTCATCATGGATTTTTGTAAATTGTCATATAAATTAATTTATGAGCGTGTCGTGTCAATTTTGAATTATCATTGTCGGTCAAACTGAAAAGTGTTTTTATCCAACAATTTTTTTTACACAAGCGATGGTGGTGGTGGTGGAATTGGGTTTAACGTCGTGCTTGAGAATATTTCGCTCATATGACGACGTGCATGCGTGTGTATGTGTATGTGTGGCTGCTTGTACTAGCCCAGACTTAAGCTGGTTTTATAGTGCTAGCCCACTGAGATACCATGCTGCAGTGAAGCATGAATACCCCACTCAGACACATTATACTGACTCTGAGCCGACCAGTCCTTGTTGTACCCATTAATGCTGAGCGCCAGGCAGGGACCAACAAGTACCATATTTTAACGTCTTTTGGTATGACGCGGTCGGGGATCGAACCCGCGACCTTCCGCTCTCCGGGCGGACGCTCTAACCACTACACCACGGAGGCGGTCACACAAGCGATGGATATAATGCAGTTGATGTGATCAGTCTCCGTCTTTATCAGTGATAATTTCAGGGATGAAACAACGAATCCCAACCTTCCCTTATATGAGCGGGTCATATTGCCCCTAACAGGTATTTTCAAAGTGTCCTACAAGTATCATCTGTCAAGCTTTACGTCGTGTGATCATGAAGTTGTACATATTCATGAGCACTATAATCATTCTCAGCTTACTGGACAAATCTAATTAGTTTCTCTTCTTCCTCAATTATGGCGACTTAAGTCATTAGTTTGTGATTGATCAAGTCGGTGATTTTCTAAAGAAACAAGACCTCGGTATTCCTGCTGGGCAGATGTTGACAGTGTAGAAAGGAGTCAGTGAGTGAGTGAGGAAGAGGGAGGTTTTAGCACTATTCAAGCAATATCATATCGAGGACACCAGAAATGTACACAGTTTACCCATGTGGGGAAGCAAACCCGGATCTTCTGCATGACAAGCAGACACTTTAACCATTAGGCTGACCTACCCCCCCTATAGATTGTGGAAGATGTTTTTTGTTCCTTTGATCACTTGAAGCAAAATCACATGTACATGCAAAGGATAAAATCACATGTTATCTGTTTGCTCAAGTCCTATGGTTTAACCTGAGCGAATGAGTTTAGTTTTATGCTGCACTCAGCAATATTCCACCTATATGGTGGCGGTCTGTAACTAATGGAGTCTGGACCAGACAATCCAGTGATCAACATGAGCATTGACCTACAGAACTGGGACTGGGATACCAAGTCAGCAAGCCTGACCACCCGATCCTGTTAGTCGCCTCTTACGACAAGCCTGGGTCACTGAAGATCAACCCATGGTTTAACAGTGTTCAGAGTTGAGCATGCTTGTCCAGGGTCCTTGTTATGTTACCCAAGTGGTAACAGTTAAGCTCACTGGATTCAAATACTGTAGACGACTTCCATGACCCCAGGAAAAGGGACAGTATGTTGATGGTTCAGGGTGTTTTCAAATCATGCCTGTAATAATTTCAAGGTGTGACATCACACATTTAGTTCATGCCTGATTCAAATCTCAGACAGGGCCCTGTTCCACAAAACGATCGTAGAGCTAAGATGATCGTAACTCCCATACTTTAACATAGACTTACAATTGTCGTAGTGCTAAGATGATCGTAACTCCCATACTTTAACATAGACTTTGCAATTGTTGTAGCTAAGATGATTGTAACTCCCATACTTTAACATAGACTTACGGCAGTCGTAGAACTAAGATGATCGTAACTCCCATACTTTAACATAGACTTACAACTTCGTAGCGCTAAGATGATCGTAACTCCCATACTTTAACATAGACTTACAATTGTCGTAGCGCTAAGATGATCGTAACTCCCATACTTTAACATAGACTTACAATTGTCGTAGCGCTAAGATGATCGTAACTCCCATACTTTAACATAGACTTACAATTGTCGTAGCACTACGATAGCTTTGAGGAACGGGGCCCGGGCTGCTTGTCTTTGTGACATTTGACCTGTGGCAAAGATCGTCTACACAGGAACCTGTGTTGCTGTATTCTAAAGGTGCTCCCTCAGACCAAAATAAAAGAGCCAACAAATACAAGTGGTGCACAGAACTAAAAGGATTGAAGCATATATTTTAGAGGCAAATCAAAGAAAAAAACTTGTGTGTTTTTCTTATGACTGAAGAAGAAAATTCTTATTGCTGGCTTGATTTAATTGTAAGTGTATATCAGAGTCTAGGTTACAAT